AATTGAAGAAGACAAGAGAAATTGGAGTGGTGTGCTGAATGAGAGGGAGCCTGTAAGAGAGATACTTAGGGAACAGTTTTTTGGAAATCAATGTATGGCAACTACTAAGACAGCTATACAATGAAGACAAAAAAAAGCACCACTGAGCTTTACAATCAGCCAGTACAGTACAGAGCAAACACTAAAACCATCCTCTCCCTTGAATTCCCCACCCTTAAATATTTTTGCTCATTTAATCACAGTTCTGTGACATGCTCACTGTTGAACTGCCTTTCCTCCACTGCCTCTTTCCTTATCTGTAACTGGTAATGACTTTTGCTTTTATTTTTAAAAGTAGGGACTACTTTCATTGTTACTCTGCAATAGAGAAACATTCATTATTTCATTGTAAGCCAGAGCTCAGTATCCCTGTGGCTAACTTCCAGAGGGACTTTGGACACAATTGAAGTGTATCATTTGGGTGTCAACAGTGTGCCTCTCTGCTAGGTTAATTTAGTTACAGGGTGTGATATGTGAGCATGAATTACTAGTCCTTCTGAAAAATCCCCTCATACTTTATACTGTTTCCTCTCTTCCCACTCCTGTCAATTTCAAGTTAGTCCCTGACCTTCAAGAATATCAAATTTAAGTTGGACCTACACAGACTGAATATCCATTCTTCAGGCAAGATATTATTTCTCCATGTCCTTGGGCTCCTATCTACATATTCAACCTCCAGCAGATAAAAAACATTCAGAGATAAAAATATGTCTGTACTATACATGTAGAGACACATTTTCTTGTTATTCCCTAAGCAATAGTGTAACTACTTGCCCAGCATTTGCATTATATTAGGTATTATAAGTAATATGAACATGTCTTAAAGTATATAGAAATACGTGTACAGGTTTGATGGAAATATAACCAACTTGAGCATCTATAGATTTTGGTATCTAAAGGACTTCTAAACACCAATCCCCTGTGGATAATAGAAATGATCCCATATTCACAATCTAGTCAGGCGCGCGCGCACGCGCGCACACACACACACACACAGCAACTTCACTTGCTATACAAGTACAACCACTACTATAGCAGCTAACATATACTTCTTATTTGGGCTCTTAGTGGCTTCATTTTCCAAATTTTGTGAGTACAATTCTATTAAAAGCTTATGATTTAAATTAGTGTCATAAAGCTGGGTGCCGGTGGCTCATGCCTGTAATCCTAGCTACTTGGGAGGTTGAGATCTAAAAATTGTGATTCTAAGCCAGCCTGAGCAGAAAAGTCCTGAGACGCTTACCTCCAATAAACTACTCAGAAAAAGCCAGAAGTGGTACTGTGGCTCAAGTGGTAGAACACTAGCCTTGAGCACAAAGAGGCTCAGAGACAGCATCCAGGCCCTGAGTTCAAGCCCCAGGACTGGCCAGAAAAAAAAAAAACAGTGTAATAATAACCTTATTTTGCAGATAGAGAGATTTCACAGGCTAAGAAGGCTAGGATTCAGATATTCAAAGACTGTTGTATATCATTTGCCATTATTCTCTATTGCAGGTGTCCTCTGCCATCTACCTTTATTTGCTCATCTTACTGAGAAAATGATCACAAAAATATAAGACATTCTGCAACATACATACAACCTGTTCTTCTGTTATACATTCTGACATATTAAGAACATTTGGTCAGTTTAGGCTTCTGGACATTCTGGCCCTCTGCTGTTGAATAAACAGCAGCTTCTACCCACATAGAGTTAGATTTAAATTCCATAAAATCAAACAAAACAGAAATTTCAGTTCTACTTACAGTAGCTTCATTTCAAATGTTTAATGGCCACCTGTGGCTAGTGGCTTCTATGTTGGATAAGGATGCGCAGAATTGGAATGTTACCATTATCACAGAAGTTTTATTAGCGTAAGGTCTCCAAATTTTAGTATATATTTTATATTAACAACACATTTCTGCTGGCCTAGCCACATTTCAAGTACTCAATAACCACATGAGTATCACATTATCCAGCACAGTTGGGGACTGTTACATCAAGGTTTCTCGCCTGGATATGTCAAATAGGAGTGAGGTCAAAACTGTATATTTTGAGAACCACTGCTGTAAGATTTAGGAGTGTAAGTGATAAATACATAACATTGCTAAGATGATAGAGGAAAGTCTGTAAGTCTATATTTTGCTTTAAGCACTTTCTTTTGGTAACATTTGTCTATGTATTAGGAAGGTGATATTAAGTGCATATGTATTTAAAGCACCCATCTGTTTTTAAGATACTTTGTTGCTACTGGCTATTTCTTTAAAATGCCAGAGCAGCTTTATATAAAAGCCAACTCAGAGGATTAATATTAGCTGTATTAGAATGACACCGCCCCATTTGTTAGGAAATGAAAGACTTGGAAAAAATTATATTAAGTGAAGTTAGAAGCATAGGTCCCATTGTCTCCCTTATTTGCAATAACTAATATATGTCTAGGACAAGCAGAAAAGCTCAAAAGCTATGTACATATGACCATATAAGATGATGCTAAATGAAATAAACCCCAAGATAGGGACACAAGAGGTTTTATCTTTCTTGATGTTGTTTTTAATGTACTAATAATGCACTATGTGATTTTTCTTTCTTTTGTATGTTCTTCCCCTATGGTATAACCCCTGTTTTCACTGTATTTGATGTCGGTGCCCTGCATCTTGCATTATACATTTTTCTAATTTGGGGAGGGGAAGGGAAATAACAAAATGCTGAAATAAGGATACAGGTTGACCCATTGCAGCAATGAGATATACAAGACACATTGTTGAAAACGAACTTTACAACTTCAGGGGGATAGGGAGGGAGGAAGGGATGGTAGGGGAAAAACAAAAGAGGAGGTAACAATGCTTGATAGGAAATGTACTCATTACCTTACTCGTGTAACTGTAACCTCTCTGTACAGTATCTTTACAATAAAAATATATTTAATTAGAAAAACTAGCTGTGTTGTTTTAGCCTACTGCTAATAACTGCATAGATGGCTGACTGTAGTCAATAAACAAATATAATTTGGAACTCTGAGTGAAAGCCAATGAAACTTAGAATGAACACAGATTGAATATCTGCAGTCAGGGCATGGGGCATGAATCAAATTGTGGGTGCTGGCCTACCATGCACAATGCCTAGGGTTCAACTTAATGTTGCCAAACAGTTCTCTCTAGACATTGTCCTCCTTGCTGATATATCTCCTGTCTTCTACTTCTAGATCTCTTCCTTGATAGCACTATTTGGTGATTCTTTATTTAGTCTACATTATAAAGTGTGGTTATCATTCTTGGAAGGTTATCTTGAAATTTCTCAGAGTGACTTGGGGAAATATTGTCTTCATATTTAAGAAATATGTTTGTACACATCATTCACATTTTTAAGATATATTCTCTTATGCGTGTTTCTTAACTAAATTCTTTTATCTATTTTGAAATAACGTAATTTCAAGTCTATAATTAAGCACTTTCTTTTGATAAACTTACCTATTCCTGTTGAGCTTAATTATAGCTTAAAGCATAGCATTTGTATAATTCATCAGAATGAGTGAGCTTTTCCAGAAGCTGTTGCTACTAAAGCTTTATTGCTATATTTTGTCAGTGTCTTATTGTCAGCCTTAGGCAACATATGTGAGGGGAAAATGGAGCTGGAACCCTCTGTTCTATCCCCTTACCTTACTACTTTGGAATGTATTTTAGCCCTTTGCAGTAAGTTAAGAAAACTGATTTTATTGTACTTATTATTTTTTAACATAGTAGATCCTGGATCTTTGGTTTCAAGGAGACAATTGCCATTGAAGAAAAGCTATTCATGCTCAGAATGCAGTCTAGTCCTATCCTGAGGTTGCTTGATTGATTTTTCCCACACTCTGCCCAACATCACTAAAGACATTTGTGCCTTTCAACACATCTCAAGCTTTCACTTTATCATTTCAATTAGGCATATTAACTTTTACCGCCATTAGGGACACTGCTTGCTTTTTGGGAGATAATATTTTCACAAAATTGATGAGGGGAACATTCAGCAGATCATATGATGATTTTAACACAACTAGTGATGATGTAGGGCAAGAGCTTCTCTGAATCTACTGAACTGCCTAATATAAACACAGAATTTAGATTTTTTTCAGTTTATTTTCATTTTATTTATTTTAATTATGCTTGGTCAAAGCTCCATGTAATATGAAATAAAAGACTTGAAATTGAACTCTGTTTTCATAGTAATAATTATAAAATGCAGTTATGAACAACATGATACATCTTATCATCTACAGACCATAACAGTCATGATGTATGCAGGGAGATTGGGGTGCCAGAGTATTTAGGAAAGATAGGAAAAGGATCCTGGTTGAATGTGATCCTTCTAAATAATGGTCATTTGCTTATTTCCCTCATTTGTCTTCTCAGTTGTTTCCAAAAAGTTTGTACTGCTTGTTTGCCAGTGCTCTTTTTAGCTTTGAAATTTGCCCTTTGACTACATGGCTTGAACACCCTTTTCAATTTGTGTTCTTACTCTGGCCTTTGGTCCTTGGAGACATTTGTTCCTTAAGCATATAGGGTTATGTCACAATAGAATATTCTTGGTTCTGGCTGGGCACTGGTAGCTCATGCCTGTAATCCTAGCTACTCAGGAGGCTGAGCTCTAAGGATCGCAGTTTGAAGCCAGCCCTGGCCGGAAATTCTGAGACTCTTATCTCTAATTAACTACTCAAAAAAGGCAGAATGGCACTGTGGGTCTGGTGGTAGAGCAGTAGCCTTTTAGCAAAACAAGTTCAGGGACAGCATTCAGGCACTGAGTTCAAGCGCCAGGACTAGAAGGAAAAAAAAAAGAATATTCATGGTTCTGTGTAATGATTATCAACAAGTGACTTACGATATATAATTAACCTACTCACTTGTGGTTTTTTTATGGAATTGCTTAATTTATTGTTACCATAAATAAAATTTTAAATTCCAGATTTTATATAATTTCTAATCATATTTATTTGTTTGTCTTATTTCAGTGCTGGACCTAAAGGAGACAACATTTATGAATGGAGGTCAACTATATTGGGACCCCCAGGATCTGTCTATGAAGGAGGGGTGTTCTTTCTTGACATTACCTTTTCACCAGACTATCCATTTAAACCTCCAAAGGTCAGTATGGAATATCCATCCATTTTTGTGATATTATTATTATATGTGCATATGCATGTTCTTAAAATATATATAAGAAGATTGTAAATCTTCCTGTTCTGTTAGGCTAGACAACTCCAGGGACTACTAACGTATGCAAAGAAACAACATGAAATATTATAACTTGCTTACTTCTAGACTCTTCAATTTAGGATTAACAGCAATAGGTAAGGGGATAAAGTCCTTACCATGCTTGATTTTCTCTGAGTCTAGCCCTGTCAAGGTCATCAACAACACCAGCTGATTTTTTTTCCCCTAGTAAAGGAACATCACAGCTTTACTGAAAGTATTCCACTTTCATAGATGGTGAAACTTTGATGAGCCTTATAAAATAAGTCTTTGAAGAATATACAAGCAGGACTGTTCCAAACTCCAATTCCCAGAACCAGGTGCTTTCCATGTAATTCTACATTATCACTTTACAGAGCCTTATTAGGAAAAGTAGCACATGAAAGGAATGTGTTATCTGCAGGTACCCATCCACATATATACCCAAATTTGGCCCCCTACTTTTCATGGAGAATATATGTAAAGATAGGTAGTGTTTTTCCCAGCACTGCATGTATTTCTAGTAAAAATACAATTGTATTACAGCTTACAGAGGCTAAATACTTTGTATTGTATAAACATACCAAGATTTAATGTTTCTGTGTCTAGACCTTGAGGTTCTTATCACTACTTCTGTTGTAAACAGAAGTTTTGAGGTGTACATTCTGATAGTTACATGTTTTATATATTTGTGTAATTATTTCCCAAGGCTAGGTTTGTTGACACAATATTTCTGAGAAGAGTTAGCACATAGGTGGAGCTTTGATAAGGGTTGACAAACTGTGCTCCAGCCATCTGCCTGTGATAGAATAGTATTTCCTACTGTCCTCAGCTTTGAAGATTCTGACAGTGTTTTAATCTCTGCATATCCAGTATATGAAACAAAAGTCTTACGATTATTTCAGTTTACATTAATTACTTTGACAGTTATTTCTCTCTGTCAATTATATGGGAATATGAAATTAACATGAATAAAAATTAAATTAACACGAATTCTTGAAAATTCTAGAACCATAGTAGAAATACTATACTTATGTGTGATTATATGTGTATTATATATATTTCTTTTTACCAAAAGCATTTTGATTATATTGTCATATTCTGTTTCTAATGTTTTGTGTCCCAAAGATTCTAATGTAGAATATCTTCACTAAGGGGTCATGTTAGGTTAACAAGTAAAATACTTGTTTCTTACAGTAGAAATGCAAAGGTAGTCCTAGTCTAGTATTTGGTTGGCTTTTTCTGCCTCCCAGTACATCTGGGCATGGTATACAAAATAAATGAGCATTCTAGACAAATATGAGGTAGGTAGAAAAATTAAGCATATATCTTACTTTTAATATCTCAAGACACTTGTGCACAGGTTAGGCATATGCTGTGTTAATATTCACAGCTGTCTTTAGAAAACATGATTTTCATTAGTCACTGTACTGAGCACTCTTGAAAGAGGAATAATAAACATTTTTACATAGGATACTTTTAAGAAACTTACATCTAATAT